GGAAAAGAGGGGCAGACAAATGTGGGGAAAATTGTTAGATTCTGTCCTTTTTGTCATACTTGTTCTGGTGGCAAATGAGGACAAGTTTTGCTCATCCTGTCTTCTTAATCCCCACTCATCCTGATGTCTCAGAAGGGACTTTAGTTTGTGTTGGTGAAACTCAAACAGCTACCTCCCTTCTCTTCTGACTCCTAAAGACTCTTCTGCCCCTCAAGACCTGCTAAAATAGAAAAATACAGTTTTTTCCACCAATATATACATGCTTATTACACTGATGGTCTTGAAGACAAAATACTAAACACTTGAAAGTATTACTCAGTTACATCATCTTTACCCACTAACTCCTGTTTCCTTTACCCTGAGCAACCCATAAGCCTGGCTGTATTGTCTGTGCCACATGGATCAAAGCATTTTGCAGGAATGTGTCCTTCGATTTTTAGTCCTTTTTAGTTGATCTAGGTTTAATGCTGCATTTTGTTCCTTTTATATCATCCCTGTGCTATATGAGGGTTTCTAATATATAAATAGACAAGCAGTAAAAATAACTTCTGAAACACAGCAACTATTATCTGGAAAATAACTTTCACATATCCCTGTCCCCAAAAAATCTTCAGTAAAAGAACCACAAAAAAGGCAGAAGGAGAAAAATTTGTTTCTCCAGCCCAGCACTATTCTACCAAAAGCCACAACATCAAATCCATGTGATTTAATGCATGTCTCATTTCAGAAGTTTGAGTGGTGTACTCTGACTCCCACACACACACTTATGCTACGAAGACCTTACTTATGGCTCATGCATTGTTTTTAAAAATATATATTTAAGAGGTTTCTTCTTTCCTGATTAAGTGTTACTAGGACAAAACCATCTCTAGGAACGTATAAGAAAATTTAGGTGGAGAAATTTTTGAGTATCATTTGTCTCACTGTTATAAAACAAAGATTAGGAGATAGTACATGATTGTAGGTTGAACGCTTTCAGCCATGGCCAGATTAAGACATGAGCAGAACAGCATATATCAGGGATAATAAGGTTTAAATCTGCAGAAATATCTACAGCTGCAATACTGAGATTACCTTTGTTTCAGAAGTCTGAACAGCAGACACACCAGGCACTGAAGGAAATTCTACCAGCCATATCCTGGGCTGCATCAAAAGGAGCATGACCAGCAGGTCGAAGGAGGTGATCCTGCCCCTTTACTCTGCTCTCATGAGACCTCACTTGGAGTATTGTGTGCAGTTCTGGTGTCCTCAACATAAAAAGGACATGGAACTGTTGGAACAAGTGCAGAGGAGGGCCACAAGGATGATCAGGGAACTGGAGCACCTCCTGTATAAGAAGAGAAGGCTGCATGGAGACCACACAGCAGCCTTCCAGTATCTGAACGGGGCCTATAAGGATGCTGAGGAGGGACTCTTCACTAGGGACTGTAGCGATAAGACAAGGGGTTACAGATTAAAACTTAAACAGGGGAAGTTTAGATTGGCTACAAGGAGGAACTTCTTTCCTGTGAGGGTGGTGAGGCACCGGATTGGGTTTCCCAGGGAAGTTGTGAATGCTCCATCCCTGGCGGTGTCCAAGGCCAGGCTGGGCAGAGCCTTGCGTGACATTGTTAGTGTGAGGTGTCCCTGCTCATGGCAGGGGTGTTGGAACTAGATGATCTTAAGGTCCTTTCCAACCCTAACTATTCTACGATTCTACAATTCTATGATTCTAAGTGATAAATCCCAAAGGTTTCAGTAATACGAAAAAAACAGTAACATGAAAAAAATCTGTATTCCATACCAGAATTTTAAATTTTAGTTCAGCGACACTACTGTTCCAATTCTAGCGGTTTTACTCTCTGCAATATATTCTGACATATAATGGCATCAAGCTGTGTCAGAGGGGATTTATACTGGATATTTCTTCACCAAGAGGGTGATCAGGTATTGGAACAGGCTGCCCAGGGAAGTGTTGGAATCACCATCCCTGGATGTAGGTGAGGCCCTTAGTGACATGGTTTGGTGGTGGACTTGGCCGTCCTGTGATAAAGGTCTATGATCTTAAAGGTCTTATCCAACTTAGCTTCTATGAATCTATTCTATGAATCTTCAGATCCCAAATAAATAAGCCTTAGGATTTGTACTTGCATCAGAAGTGAAAACTGAGTGATATACAGAAAGTTAAGCTTATTTATGGCAACATTCTTTCTCATTTAACAAGAGAGGTAGGGAAGTAATTTCACATTTACATCCCATTGCAAAGGGTTTGGTTAAAGCAGGAACAAAATTAACATATGGTTAATGATTTCCTGCCCCAGCAACAATTCCATTTTCCATTCTGAGAGTGGACTATTTCAGGACACCACTTTCTAAGAGTATTCACATTTCTGTATTTGCACTGTTAGGTGTTATATTTAAAATTAACACATCAGTTCTACAAGAAGAAAAGTGTTTCTTAAGTGATAATCTGCCTATAGCGAATTCTCTGGTTTATATACAGAAAGTCATAGTACAAGCACAGCATTATAGATTTTAAACAGTCTCTCATAACAGACTACGTGGACATGAGGTTGAATAGAAGGACGTGTTCTTTGCTGCCATTTTTTTTTTTTGTAGGTTCACAAATAGCACTTATGTTTTCATAGCTTATGTACTTTTTATTACCATTGGTTGGTGATTTGAATAATTTGAGGAGAATTCTTCAAATCCTCAAAATGAACCCATTGGAAATAAAAAGAAGCATTAAGCCTAAATGTAAGATTCCCAAGACAGAGGGTGGAGCCCTATGGGGCAGAGGAGAGACAACACTAGTACACCTCGGTGCGGCACCTTGATGTAGGATGTTGATTTCATTGAAGATTTTCATACTGCTATTGCTATCTGAAAAAAAAACCAAACAAAAACAACCAACCAACCTACCCTAAATTCTTAGAGCAAAATTTCAGTTACTTACAATAGCCCAAAGTTTTAATTTTCCTGTCAAACAGCATTGTTGGGGACTACTCTGCTATTTATATAGCATATAAATGCTATATATAACTTTGAGCTGCTTATGTTTAATAGCCATGACTGAGCAAGTACAAGTTCCTTTTAAGAAGTGACATGTGGAAGCCGAGAGGGTTTGCACTGTTCCATTCAGACTTCAGCCAACCCAACCCAACACTGGAAACCAAAAAGGGCTTGCTAACTTTAAACACTAGTAAAATACATATATCAAAGAATTTTAGAAGGCAAAATATGAGATTGCATTTGCTTTAATTCATCATTCATTAAACCCCCCAAAATCCTAAGGCATTTCATATCATCATTTATTTGCTTCTTCCCATGATGTAAAACCACAAACCTACAAAATTCTCAAACTCTGACAAAACATTGTCAAAGAGGCTTGCTAGCATCATTGCTGCTTTAAGCATAATAAATTGTTTGCAACAAATACATGGAAATAGTAATTCTTTCCAAAAGAAAATAATTATTTTTCCAAATAGAAGAATCCCAACAAGGGGATTTGATTTTTTTATTATCTCTTTCCTGCAGAATTCTGAATGGGGTAGTTCCACAAACAATACGTTGCTCAAGCTGAAAGTTCATTTTACTCTTTATCAACTGGGTAGACTAGAAACAGGTTACTTTGGTGTGTAGGGAACATAGCAAAGCTTATCACCTAGCACAGGCATCAACTTTTTAATGGAACTTCCTTGGGGTAGGAGAGGTTATTTTTAAAGTTATGTTCTAGGATTCCAAGGGAACAGCCAGCCACCTGATTCCTGACCTTGCAAAAACCTGCTAACATAAAATACAAACTTTCAGAAGTGTTTTTCCTGAGAAAATTCTGCTTTACAAAACCTAGGGAAGGCTTTACAGGAAGTAAAATCAGAAAGTTTCTATTACTGAAAGCACAAGTTATGATTTTCTTGCAGAAGACTAAGTAGCATGACATCCCAACTATTTGGCTATTTAAATGTGTAAGAACTGATTTATAAGTAAAAAATGTTCCAAAAGTTTGTTACAGAGTTAAGAACATCAAAGCTTTATTTACACATTCACCTACTTTAGCCAAGTGAAAGTTGCAGTTCAACAACTGCAGGTTGGTTGTCTTGTCACAGGATAAAGTGTCACTTACATTCAGATATTCTCCATTTGTCTTGTCTGTGTTTTGTTCCAGAGATCATAAGCAAGTGAAAACATGATCAAAGACAAATTATCCTTTGGGAGTTATGTATGTCAAAATACATATGAAGTCCACAAGAAACCAGAGGAATCGTTCTTGAAAGGTGTTTCCTAAGTAAATGACCATCCAATACTTAAGAAGGTTTTAAGGGCATGACAGATGCCATTGATTAACTGCAGATGGTCATATATAACTATATACCCTTGCTTATATTAGCCAATCCAAGGCAGCTACATGCTGTGTTCTCTATGACTATTAATTTTCAGAGAAATCAGAGTTCTTTGATGCTTATTTCATTGACATTTTTGAGGACCTACTGTAGCTACAGGTAACACCTGCCAACAAATATAAACAATCCATGAACCACTCTGGTCATGAAAAAGTAATCTTATAGCATACACAGTTCCACCTTTACAAGCCCTGATGTGGTTAAAAACTAACAGTGAAAAAAGAAGAGAAGCCACAGTGTTAAGCACTAGAGAGCATACCTTATATTCACACTGCGCCAAGTCAAATATCAGAGCAGCTGCTGGGGTTGCTCTAACTTGCACAAAACCCATGTCATGTCCTATGGAAAACTCATCTTCTAGGTAGTGCCAAGGTAACAGTCTCCTGAGCTCTTCTTCCAGAAGTTCTCTATATCCAGAGTGCTCAGGAGACACTATTTCTATTTAAACACACACGTTCTACTCTATTTCTGCAGTTAAAAATACTTCATATAATGCATGCCTGTACGTGACAGCAACAAATCCTTTGTTTTCATTATTGGGTCTTGGAGTTTACTTGCAACATGTTACATGAGTAAATAGACACAGATTTGAGGAAATAGTTTATATAAATGCATGCTTACCAGCTGGTGCAGAATGCGAGCAGTGAAGTTGAAAAGCATGATAACCGGCACACAAATCACTGAATTTGCCTTCTTTAAAATCTGACTTGGAATCCTTTTTGCTCTCAATCTCATCTGAAGAAAGATTATCCAGTTCAATTATCACAGCTGACATTGTAATACAGTCTTAGTACAAAAACAAATCGGAAGAAAAGAAGCCACTTATAAGTTCAGCTTCCCCAAATCACCCCTGAAAATTTCCCCTAACTGTAGAGTGCAAAAAATTTTAAGTCAATGTCTGAGAAACTGTATTTCCCTGAAGCTGTTCTTCCAGCTCAGTGGCATTTGCTAAATATTGCAGCTCATTTCTAAGGTAGAAAACTATTACTTTAAAAAGTTCTGTTCTTGTAGTGACAGCAAGGCACCTCTGCGTAGCTGCTACAAAAATAACAAGGATAAGCGGAGACATCTGTTTGTCTGCTAAGTTGTGGACTTACTAACTTTGTTTTAAGACTAATTCACATAGTTACCCGCTGGTCCAGCTGGGAGGGGCTAAGCAATACCAATGGAAGCAAGTACATCCCTCACGCCAGCCCAGCAGAGCCTGGCAGCTGCACCATGGAGGTTACTTGTGCCACATTTCTGTTTCCTCAGGGAACACTCGGGTCTTTGTCTGGGATGTGTGCAGCAAGATAAATGACTACAAGCTACATTGTTCCTTGAAAACAAGGAATAGTTCTCAGTTTCTCCGTTTATTATTTCATAGTCTTGAATCTAAGAAGTTTCTTTTGAGGGAAAACACTGCTAGTAATATTGAGTGGTTTAGGCTTTTGAGCTTTTTATTTCCTTAGATACAAATAAACCTCAAAAGAATGCGAGACAAGAAAACGACCCCTTTCTCCCCAGGCTCTGTCCCACCAGGCAGCCGTCAAGTACAATAAGCAGTACCAAGGGAGTCACCCACTGGCGATGGTGGGAAACGCCACAGCCACAGAGCTGATGAAGCATAAATTGTCATTCATGAAAACATACCACAGGAGAGTTTAGCAAAAAAGTTGTCAAGGCTTAGCTAGAGAAAAGATGACATGGTGATTTGTCAGCTATTAGCACCCTATCACTTTATTAGTTTCTCTTTGCTCAGTGCCCCCCCAAAAGAATTAAATAATGCAAGAAAAACCTATGAAGCCATGCAGATTTTGCTAAACAGAAAAAATCCAAACACACTCAATTCAGCCTGATAGGAGTGAATTCTCAGGGCTGCCTCTGCTCATGTGAGTCAGGTTTAAACTGAGCTGCTGCTGGTACCCGCAATAATCTGTATGCAAGCAGGGAGCAGGTGGAGATGCCGTGTGGAGGCACTGGACATCATCAGCTAGAGACTACCTGTTAACAAATAAAAGGCAATCTTCTAGTGGGACACTTCCTTAAGCTAAGTGAATTTATAGGAGGAAATTTCTAGATGGGTTGCAATCACAGCAAGGAACCCAAGAGAAGTAACAAAGCTAATGCTAATAAGTAGAGCAACATGGAAAGGGGACTGAACGAAAAAAGTCAATCACAGGAGGAACTTTCAAAGAGGCCAGAAATCCTATCTGGCAGCTGTCTAGTTTTCATTTCACTCCAATTAATGCATGTCAGGGGTAGGAAAAAGGTTGGTGACAGTGCCTCAACACTCAAAAATATTTAGTAACGGTTATCTAATAGGGAAAGCAAGCAAATGTATAGTGTTTGGAAGGCAAACTGGGCACAGCACACAAGAAAGGAAAAGGAAAGCAAAACAGACTTTCATTGCATCCTTTAAAAATATAAAGACTAGTTATGCCTTTAGTGTTGGCTGAAGTGGTCTGATTTTGCTTTCTGAGAGAAAGATCCACCAAACGAAAATGCAGATTGATAAACTTGTGGGAAATTCTACAGGAGGTAACAGTCCTGTCAACGTATCTCAAACAACATCTATAGTTTAAATTGCATTTCCCTATTTATAAACGTGCAAAACATGGAGCTGTTACTTAAATAAATCCAGTATACCAAAACTTCTAAAGGAAGCAGGATCTTAATTCTCTAAAGACAAAGCATTACAAATGCTTAGAGGGAGAATCATTCTTCAGTGTCCCAAGAATTTTATACTTTCCTTGTCTTGGTTCTTGTAACTTTTCCTGGACACGTGAGAAATTTCACCTCCTGTACAAATCCTTATCTGAAGATTTTAAGTTTCTCAAATGACATTAATCTCAATGTGATTTAATTTAAAAATCGAGTATCGTTACTATTGCTGCTGTTATGTTTCCCATGTAACTGAATATTTAAGTCAGTCAAGGGCATTTTAAGTCTTTGGCAGTCTGTGACTATTTCTTCATTTGTATAAGGGATTTTTTTCCTTCTTGATTTCATGCATATGACAAAAGAGAGAGTACTGTTCCTGGCAATTTAGGCAATCCCCAAATTGTTCTATTCTCTATACACATTAAATAGTGCATGCAAAAAACCTGAATTGTCAAAACTCTGCTGAAGGGTAAGGGCCATCTTTTAAGATGGAGAAGATGGCAACATATTATAAAGAATTGTGTTATTTTTTATTCATTTTTAATTCCAACTTGGTGGAAAGCAATTTCCTAGGTCTGATACACAATCATCTATACTTATGGTTAGTTGGCAGTGGAAAACCTGAAAGGCAGCAGATGCCTATATATCTTTCCCTCCTGTCAACGCAAACCAGAGGTCCAGGGCCTAACACTGTATCTGCTTTCACCTTGCAGAGCTAAGCCAGCCTGGGAGCAGCTGAAGCCTTACTTCATTTGGCATCTCTACTTCCCTTTGTACCTCTTTTCGTCTCCTCAAACAGGCATCAAAACTGGGCACCTGAGCTATTTTGCTGGTTTAATACATTTTACTTTGTCAAGCAGTTTTGAGTTGTTCTATTTCTTCCTCCCTGCACTATCAAAGACTGTCACTTCTGGCAAGATAGCTGAACAAGATCTTTGTATGTAGCATGGAACATAAGTAATTTTCAAAAGTTCATTTCAGTGCCAAAAGACACACATATGTGTTTCTAACCAAACCAAAAGCACCAGAACCTGCTGTTCCTTCAAACTGTCCAAACTATTTGACTACTATTATAAAGCTCTAAACAATAATTGCTTTTAACAAATCTGGTCATTAGACAGTCGTCTTTTTAAATAATTTTCAATTTTGTCATACTTCTAAATATTTGCCATACATGAAAATGTGTCCCCAAACTGTAAATACTCGGAGGTTGTGAAATGTACCTGAAAGTACATTTATACCACTGACTTTTTTCAGAGATAAGAAATTTAAAGGTTCTAATCCATTCAGCTTTTATGGCACTGTACTGAGTTCATGGAGTTCAGTTATAAATACTTTTTTGTCAAAAAAAATAATTAGGAGCTTGATGTTAAATTAAGTTTTCTAAATGTATGAAAAAGTAGAATTTCATTTTCAGTGGGTTTTGAGGGTTGTTTTTTTTTTAATACAAGTGACTGTTTATATTGTGAACAAGAAGTGTTAATATAATTTTCCCTTTCTTCAACACATCACTGCTTAGGAACTCTTATAATGGGAGACCCAAGCCTAATGACCTCCTCTACTTGGACTACATTGTGTCAATTCCCAATGAGTGCTCTAAAATAAAATAGTCTTGTTGGGGAATGGATGCAGTATGCTGAGCCTTTTGTCATAACCACTTGAACTACAGGTAAACATATTTTGACAACAATAAAGGAGCAAGACATAGCACCTTCCTAGAACAGAGCTGTAAATAACACATGATTCAGTTTGTTTTCTTGTGCTGTGATCCCATTAATGTTTGCTTATTTTACAAGGTGGTAATGTTCCAACAGTTAATATGGGAAAGAACCTATAGATTTTGCTTGCATGGTCTCTGCTCACAAGTGCAGTATCTTCATCTGAACACCCACTCAGCACCGGAGAGGAAGTAAAGTATGTATAGGATCTCTTACCTCTAACTGCATGAATCAACTTAGGCTATCCAAATAATTGATTACAACGCCAAAATGTAGGCTTTCCTTGCTCCACAGGGAAAGTCTGGGTCTCTAGAACAAAACCTCAGGTACATCTGTGATTTCCAAAGTCATTGGTATTACTCTAAAACCAAGTAAAACCCATACTGAACACAGCTTCAACATGAAGAAGAAATTTCATTTACACAAAAGTAATAAGCAATTCCTGTCTTATCTAATAGAGGGAGACCATAAAGACATTACACTATAATAAACCAAGATAATTTTTTAAATAGCAAACAAGTTTGTACTGTAGCACACCTTTTGATGGTGTCTTATATTAATTGAAGAGTTACCCATTTAGATTTCAATAGAAGTTATTTGTATTATACAAAGGGGTAGAGAAGAAAGTGCTATCTATCTTCTGTAAGGCAGCCCAGGAACACCTCAGACTGCCTGCTAAATCAGTACAGGCACAACTGGATTTTGATTATTTCACTATATAATCTATATCATTTTTGAGCTGCTAGAAAAGTGAGACAATTTTAGCTACATTCTGCTGATGAATTAACATACTTAAGTGTAGTTTTGCAAATAACTTTCCCAGCAATATTGAATAATTAATCTTGAAATTACAGTTTGATACCTTTCATTTTGTTAGCGCTGTTGGGAGAAAATAATGTTTTTAAATTTTGAATTAACTGTCCTATAACAATTCAAAATTCCTTTTAGAATTTACTGCAAATTGTTAAATTTTTAACATTACTTGCAGGATTCAGTAAAACCTTATTCTAAAATAAGACACAGTGACAATCATTCTCTCTGGGAAAGAAAAAAAAAGCACTCCATAATGAGAGGGAATATGCCTCACCAAACTTTATCAATTGAAACAGGGATAAAATTGAAACAGGAATAAAATTTGGGGAGGAAAAAAAAGCACTCCATAATGAGAGGGAATACTCCTCACCAATTGAAACAGGAATAAAATTTGAAAAATTAAATTAAAAAAGGCAGACTTAATGAACTGCAATCCACAAATCTCAAAGCTGTTTAATCCATTCGCAGTTGCTAACATAACAAAATCTTGATGTGGCTAAAGCAATGCGTTGTTTCCACCAGTAAAACTAGAAACTTGGCTAGTCAAAAAAAAGCTCCAGTGAAGCTCCAATGAATCAGGATAAAGTGATTTTTACCCTGGAACTTTTTCCTTTCCTGAAAAGAACTCTCATAATACAAGCACC